AAACCAGGCATTCCACATCCAATGATCCTGATTTTGTTAACAGATGTTGTGTCACACAGATTGAGTCAAGCAGAATGAAGTGATCTTGTTCGATATCTGAACTTGTCACAGTAAAAGGCTTCTAGGGTCAAGACTAAAGAAGTGGAATCTTCTCCAATTTGATGTCAAGGTTTCAAATTATAGAAAACGGCAGCAGAATCTGCTTTTTTTTTTTTTAAAGAAAAATAATCTTGTTGTTTGCATTGATGTTTTTGGATTAATGTATTGTCCTATTTGAACTATGACCCAACTGAATGGAGATTATTCATAGACTCGTCTAAGCTAAGCCTAAAAGCTGTATTACTGCACACCGGAAACCGTCTTCCTTCTGTTCCTATTGGCCATGCAATTCACATGAAAGAGACTTATATAAACATGAAATTTCTCCTCAACTCAATTAATTACTATAAACACAAAAGGAAACTTTGTGGTGACCTAAAAGTCATTGCTATAGTTTTAGGAATGCAATTAGGGTATACAAAATACTGCTGCTTTTTGTGTATATGGGACAGTAGAGAAATAAGTTCACATTATATAAAAGAAGACTGACCTGCAAGAAATCTTAACACAGAAGAAAAAAATGTTAATGTTGAACCACTTGTGGTTCCAAAAGATGTTTTTCTTCCACCATTACATATTAAGTTGGGTTTAATGAAAAATTTTGTCAAAGGTATGAACAAAAAAAGACAGGCTTTTAAGTATTTAAGAAAAAAATTTCCAAAAATACGTGATGCTAAAGTTAAAGAGGGTACTTTTGTTGGACCACAAAAACGTCAGCTTATAAAGGATCCTGCATTTAACAAAGTTTTGAAGGGGCAAGAAAAGGAAACTTGGGAAGCTTTTAAAGGAGTAATTTGTGGATTTACCCCCCCCCCCCCTAATTGCGGAGCTGTTAGTGATAAACATAGGGAAAGGTTTCACCATAAAATGGGTAAATATATAACTATATAACTAAAGATACATATATATATAAACCAAAATATGGTTAAATATATAACCAAAGATAAATATATATATAAAATATTAGTTTTATTGCTAATTTTTAAATCTTATTCAATGGAAATGTCACGATCACGACTATATTATAATCGTGATTATAGCATTTCTGCTGAATAAGATTTAGAAATAAGGAAAGAACAAATTTTTTTGTATATATGTATTTTTGGTCGCGTACTGTCTTAGCTTTTAGCCACACAATATCTGGAGAGTTTATGCTACCTTTCACGTTACATCACTATGCCAAAACACTAGTAAAAAAACATTGTTTAGAAAATAATGCAGAAAAAAACTTTAAACTTTTTTAATAAACGGGATACTATAATAGTTTAAAAAAAATAATAATAAAAATGTATAAACAAAAAAAAAAAGTTAAATTTACTTCATACTTTATAAATATATTATTTTTTATCTTGTATTGATTCTAAACTAAAATTTTTTAGAACTGCTAAACTATAAATAAAATTAGCAAAATCTATGCAATATTTTAATGCGTCTGTGTCTAAAATCGAGGAAAGGCCACAGCAACATATTTGTTCCGTTAGAACCAAAAACTTCTTGTCATACTTCACACACATTACCGAAAAAGCCAATTAAAACACAATTTATCCACACAATAGTGTATATTCTATAAAATTTGCAATACTTTTAAATTGATTTTAAAATATAATAAAAAGTAGGTTCATTAATAAATATATTTGAAACTAAAATATTTGAAAATATAAATCGTCAATTCTTAGCACAACAATAACAAAATAATTAGATATTTATTATATAATTTCACTATTCACACAATAGTTACATTTTAATTATATAATTTCACTACTAACATGCGTCCGGCACGTTAAAGGTGAGAAATCTTTTTACATCGTTTTGCTCAATACCAATTCGGTTAGCAAATTATTTTGAAAAAAAAAGTTTCACAAAAAAGTTATATTTCGAAAAAAAACGCGCGTTTCGTTGGCCCAACATTGGCTGCCATCGTTGTTTTTATATCATTATGGTTACAAATACGACGTCGCCAACAACTGAAAATTAATGTTGATAAAACGTTTATTTTAAGTCGGAAAATGGATATATTTTCTACGTTGATTCAAAGTTTTATTTTATACGTTGGCCCACCGTTGTATTTTAAGTTGTCTCAACGTTGTATTTACGTGGATTTAACGTTGAACTTTATTTGGCAAAACGTTGGATTCAATATTATTCAAAAAGAAATTTTCATTAAATACTATTTTCTTTATTTGATAATAAACAATTGGTATTGTGGTTTATTCTCCTCCGGCTAATTGCCATATAGAGGCCACATTACCAAGGCCCGCAAAGTCAGGTTCGGATCCCCAATGAGCGTCATAACCCGCTCTACGGATTAAGATTAAAGTGAGTTTAGGAAAAACGAAGATATGTTAGAGTGAAAGACAGAAGTAGTCGTGTTAGAAAGACAGCATAGAGAAAGCGGACAGGATTGCATTCGATGTTAGGAGGTGCAATAACGGTAAATATTAAATTTTACAATATATCCGTTAGGGTAATGATGGTATTGTGTTTATATTTCAGTAGTCCGCCAGCTAATTGCCTTGTGGACTACTTGACAAAAATTACATAGAAATATTTACAAAGTTTTTTCTATGCTTTTCAAGTCGAGAAACAGAGCGCAGCAAAAATAAGCGAGTTTAGAAAAGTTAGAAAAAGGAAAAAGAAAAAGCAAAAATTAAAAATAAAAAAACAACAAAAGTTTGGGTCTTTCAAAAGGTATTAGGTTTTTTGATTTAATTCAAAAATTGATTTAGTTTGTTTTCTAGTTTTTTGTTTCCGTTTATATCTCTTATTTCTTTAGTTTCATTTAAAAAATCTCTTATTTCTTTAGTTTCTCTATCTTTTAGTTGATTGTTTTCTTTCGCAATGTCGTGTTCGATCTGTAAAATTTTTTTAATTTTAGATATATATGCTCTTAAAAGGCTTATTCTTGCGCTCATACTTCTCTCATGATAAGCTTTCATACGCATCGTATAGACATAATAAAAAACCTCGTCAAACAATAAATTAGCAATGTACAATTTTGGCGCGTTTTCAACAAAACCAAAAAGATAAAATTTAAAAGTGTTTTTAAAAGGTTTACTACTGGGATAAATCTTATTTAGCAAAAATATTGTGTATTTAATTAAAGGTTGTACTTTTTTGCAACTATATATCATGTGAGATTAGAGATGAAAGATAGAGAGTTTTTCTATCTTTCATACATTGGGGACAGAGGTCATCCGGCGCATGACCTCTGCCTTTAAAGATGGACAAAATAAAATATAAAGCCATTCACTTTGCGTTACCCACAGTAACGCAAAGTGAATGGCTTTATATTTTATTTTGTTTGCTTTGTTGTTATTATTTTTCTTAAATATATTGTCTGAAAGAGGAGGGACCATTCCTTTAAGGAGGTTCCCGTCATACTCTTTTCAAATACGGAGTTCCATCTGGTACACAGGGTTGTTACACCCAAGCTGTATTTCTTTTTCATAAGAAAATCGTAAATTGATTTTGATGTTAAATCGGTGATCAAAACCGGTTTTAGGGGGTGTATAAAGTTTCTCAGTGTAAAGTTTGATTTGTTGTCAGTAATGATATAATACAATTGGTATTTTTTTATTATAAAATTGATGCGTCCACATAACTTGATCATTTAACGAACAATCATGTTTGTGTCAATTGTGGTTTGATATTTTAACAATCATAGAAGATTATATTTAAGTTATATAACTTTGCAAAAGCGCATACATTGGATCAACGTTGGGTTTAGTTCGTAAAAACAATCAAGTTTTTGCGATGTATTTTTGCGATGTACATATATTGGATCAACGTTGATTTATATACATTGAATCAACGTCGAAATATATACATTTGATTAACGTTGGGTTTAGATCGTAAAAACAATCAAATTTTTTCTATGTTTTTACATACATTGGACCAATGTAAATTTGCCAGACGTTTTTAGTTCCGTTGGTAATAATTTTATCATTATCCAAATGACATTGGATCAACGTTGGTTTTACTTTAGAAAAAAGATCCGACGTTCGCAATGGTTTTAAATACGTTGGCCCAACGTAAGTATAAGTTCCTGGGTAAGGAACCGCCTAATTTTCAAAGGTATTGAGCAACTTCTAAAAATAATTTTTGATTAACAAAATTTTTAATTTTGTTCAATTTTATTATATCCATCTCATTTTGAGGAATGGAGAAAATATTTTTGTAAAAATTGTTTTTACGAACCAACCTATTAGTTTAACCTTTTATGGGGTTACGCAACTTTTTGTGCCAATGACGGAATAAACTTTTATTTTAACTCTGACCCAAGCATTTTATGTCGTGATAATGATTTATAAAGTTTTCCACGTTAGATTAGTTAAAAATATAGAAATATTGTTATTTTCCCATTAAGTGTTGTTTAATATATATATATTTTTTTTATTACTTTTTTTGTTTTTAATATTTTTTGTCCATAGCCCCACATATTTGTTATTTAAATCAGCTTTTATAAAAAATTTAACCCAAATTTCTTACAACAGCATTCCCTACAAGAATTGAGCTGTTTTGCATACCAAGATTGAGTAGTTTATCAAAGAAACACTAGAAAGAATTCTATCTAAGGTTTACGAGTTCTTTCTTGGAGTTCAATAGTTTTTTCTTTTTTTAGGTAAATCGCTATACTTCAATACTACAATAAAAAAAGTTTTCTCTTTTGTTTTTATAGTTTTGAAGAGATAATTTTTATCAGTTCAACCAACATGATTTAATTTAAAAGACTAAATACTTTTTGGAAGAAAGGTTTTTGTTGCTTAAACACAATTTATCTACACAAGAGTGTATATTCTATAAAGTTCGCAAAACTTTCAAAAAGCATTTTAAAATTTAATAAAAAGTAGGTTTATTAATAAAGATATTTAAAACAAAAACATTTAAAAATATAAGTGTAGTTAAAAGTTGAAATTTTTTATTCTGATCTACATGAGGTGTTTACAACTAAGGAGTCAATTGTTTGAGGAACAAAAAGACGGTACCACATACCAACCGTACAAACTTTTGCAGCAAATGGCTCTATAGCAGGGCATTCTTTAGTCGTCATCAAATTCGAATTTATTGGTGAATTTTCGCAAACTGATTCGACAACTCTAACGTTAACTTCAAATTGAATACTTCCAACAATTTGTGAAGATGCATCAATAATCTTCTCTCTTACTAGTCTAAAAAAAAAAATCTTTTCTCGGTATATATATATATATATATATATATATATATATATATATATATATATATATATATATATATATATATATATATATATACATATATACATATATATATATATATATATATATATATATATATATATATATATATATATATATAAATATATACAATATATATGTATAATGGTTTTAAAAACAAAGAAACATTCAATATCCATTAATTAAGTTTCATCATACCGATATTTAGCAATGCCGTTGTTTAGTTTTCCAATAGCCTTGTTTAAACCTACAGAGAATAATCCGTTTTTGGATAAAAGATCTTCAATTTGTTTTTCAGTGAGTTGGACTTTTACTCCGGGTAGTCCAAATGATAACCCAATTAGGGCAATAAAAACAATAATTGAATTCATTGTATCTTTTTTACGAAACTCTGCTGAATCTTTGTCACTTTTATATCAGTATTTATACAAGTTTAAAAACAATTCGTTACCATTTTTAACACATTTATTCTAAGAAACTATTTTGCTTAACAAAAGAATTGAAACTAGGACACTAAAAGCTGGGTAAAGCTATTTCCTAGATAATTAAAAGTTTATTTATTACATGACAGTTGTTAAATTGTCTTTAAACAGCTTTCATCGCGTGTTTTTGATAATTCTAATGTTACATAACCCAAAAATGGGTTATGTTGTTTGTAGAATATTTAAAAGTTGCATAACTACGTGCAAAGTTAATTGGGTTATGTAACTAATGTTACATAACCCAAAAATGGGTTATGTTGTTTGTAGAATTTTTACAAGTTGCATAACTACGTGCTTCTTACATCAATTCTCTTTGATTATTTGTTTCGAGTTTGTTTTGTAAATTAGATTATTAATGTTTCTACATAGCGCTTTTTAAATCTAACATTTTTTTGTTACATTTTTGTATCCTTTGTTTATCATGATTTTTTCATATGTTTTAACAATAGCGAGGCTTAGATAAAACAAATTAAACAAATTAGAATTTTCGGTTAGATATTAAATAATGTGTTTCTTCCTAACATTAGAAAATTTAAAGTTTATGTAAATAAAGTAAAAAATTATATTTTTTAGGTTTTTAAAGTGCTTCAAGAAGAACTAACCTTCTTACCACAATGTACAGTGGATGAGCCATTAAGGTGGAAGTTTATGCTGCAATTTTTGCATTGTATAATTGTAAAAACTGGCATCAAAAATAGGACTTCTTGATTAAAAATAAGATTTCAAAATTAAGTATCAAAAGAATGAACAATCAAAAAGTCAATAAAATTGTTGATTTAAAAAACTTTTTGATTTGTTATACGACTTCTTGAATGACCACTTAAGCGCAGGCACTAACCCCAACGGTTAACGCAAGTCAAGAGCCAATTATGTTAATTATCTAACCAGTGGTGTCGCTAGGAAATTGCGGGCAGCACCGGGTGACACCATCACGACCTTACACAGAGGAATGTTACCAAAATGAAAAAATGCAAATATAACAGAACTGCTCATGCTCATATTAGTTTTAGTTTTAAACAATAGTTTTCAAGTTTTCTTCATTTCACACAACCAATAGTTTTCAAGTTTTGATTTTTGATACTCCTTAGAACTCTGATATTTCTTCATTTCACACAAATTTCGGCCTTGCTAGTAAAAGTCTAGAAGGGTGACACAAAACACTTTACCGCACTGGGTAATTCCAACCCTAGAGACGCCACTGTATTTAACAATAGTTATATATGATGTATTGTTCCATAAAATATATTAGGTAAAAATCTTTGTTAAAATACAAAATCAATGAATCTAGATTATTCTTAGGTTTATTATGAGTATAATTTGAAATGCAACAAAAAACTCAACATTTTTTCTCAGATGAACCCTGTGCACTGTCATTTCACACTAGCACAGAGTTCAATTAAAACAAATTAATCTGGAATTTTTTGGATTGCTATTTCAATCGCATAAAATATTGACCAAAAGTTGTTGTTTACAAAATGGCTATTTTGAGTTTTGAAGTTCAAATACTTTTTTAATATAATTTTTATTATTGTTATTGATATTATTATTTTTGTTATTATTGTTATTCATTATCAAGAATTATTATTATTCATTATCGACATAATTAGAATTAAGTATAGCTTGAATTAAAAATTTTTCAATATTAAGGTAAATTTTTTGGTTTCGACACCGTGATCGTAGCTTATTAAACAAACTGTTTACGTAACAAATATATGTATATATATATATATATATATATATATATATATATATATATATACATATATATATATATATATATATATATATATATATATATATATATATATATATATATATATATATATATATATATATATATATATATATATATATATATACATATATATATATATATATATATATATATATATATATATATATATATATATATATGTATATGAATATATATATATATATATATATATATATATATATATATATATATATATATATATATATATATATATATATATATATATATATATTTGCTGAATGAAAATATTAATAAGCACTGCTTATGAAAAAATAGTCTAAATTGAGATATAATGTAAAGTAATTTGTTTAAAATCCTATTATTATTATTTTTTTTAAGTTCATATTTGTAATGTAATAAAAAGAAATTATAGCAAGGAAAAGCAAGTTCATATTAATAATTTTCAAATTGCAATTTTAAAATGTACGCACATTTTATGTGGCAGACTGTTTATGAAACGAATTATTCAGAAAAAAAAGAGTATGAGACCTTTTTTCGTAAAATTTTTGATAGCGATAAATGACTGTGTCATATAGCTAGAAAAAATAATAAACAGTATAATGAAGACATTAATCTAATCATTTGTCAAAAAGTAGATATAGTTCTTTATCTAAGAAACATATCTAAATTAATATGAAGCTAAGCAAAAAGACAGAAAAGACAAAAAATGAACAAAAAATTATTCTTGCTGAGTGAAAAAAATTTTAGCCGAGAAGAGTTTAAACATCAAAAAAAAGCAACAATAACATTTGTGCTTTGACAAAACAACAAAACAGCCCTTTAGAAAAATTAAATTCGTAACTAAGACACCATTCACACCGCAAAATAAAACATTAGTAGGGCAAAGAGTGGTAATAAAATCAGTTGAAATCTTAATTCAATGACAAGGAAATATTAGATGTCTGCAATTCTGTTGCAGACATCTATTATTTCCTGAAAAAAAAAAAAAAAAAACTATCAAAATCCCTTATTTTAATGGCTGATTGAGAATTGCCTTTCACTAGACGTTAACTAATAGATCTAATACAAGATATTATCAATGCTAATAATGTTGATGCACTTTTTATAGATTGCCGGCCAAGTAAAAACTGGTTGTACGTTTTCTAGCAGCGAATTTTTAAAATAGCACATAGAAAAACTGAAAATTTAAGCAATTCAAAAAGCCATTCTGAAAATCCTTGAGCCATTAAAAAATGGTTTGTTTTAGTTACAAAAATATTTAGAAATGCAAACATTATAAACATTCCTAGTCGAATATTTAACTCTGATGAATCAGGATGCATCACTGATTCAATGAAACAAATTGTATTAACAAAACGAGGTGTTGCAAGAATGTTGCAATGCATTGGTGACTCAAGGCGGGAGCGAACTACCGTAAATTGTGCATGTAATTAAGGAAAAGGGCTGTTTGGAGTTACTAGTAAGTTACTCATATTTTTTTATTTAAACGAATAAGTTAATTTTTATGAAAAAAGTAAATTAAATAAATATATTTAAACGCTTAAATTAAATTTACATTACCGCATAAGTTATTAATTTTTTTGAAACGGCAACTTTATAATGAAAATTTTTTCATTTTTAAAATTAAGTTACGTAAAAGTAGGTTACATAAAAAAGTAATATAATTTTACATGAAGAAAATCACATAAAAAAACTGTTTACTTTTACACGTTAAAGTTAATTACTTTTTTTATTTTTTATGTTACAATAATATGAGAGTTCGTCAAACTGTAATTTACATTTATATATAAAAATAACAAATTAAAGAAAAAAAATTATATTATCGTAATCATAAGAAAAAAACTTGCGTATGAGAATGAATTATATATAAGTGATATGCTACCAAATGTAAATTAAGTTTACAAATAAAACAATGTTTTTTAAAAAGCCATTTTTTATTTTAAAAGTAATAAAATTTTTTTATCAAAAATAAATTATATAAAATTTAAAATACATAAGCTTACATTTTATATACCTACTTTGTAAAGTTTGTTTAAAGTAATCTATATTTAAGAAGTAAATAAATTTAATTATATTCTACATTAACTTTGAAAGGACCTTGTACCACTGTAATGCAAAAAAGTAAAACATTTAGTTTAAGCGACATTCGATCTGAGCAGTTTAAGGCATTTCTTCCCTGTAAAGTTTGAAAATATCAATAATTGGTTTCTGCCCATGATTAAAATCCTCTCTAGTTCCGGTCCATGATAGTTTTGGCTCTAAAAACCATTCTTTGAATCGAACCGTCTTAAAAATATTCAATTCCTTGCCAATTATTTGAAAGGCCTTGAACTCACACAAATTAAAAGTTGGCATTGAGCAGAAGACGCATACAATAATGGGAGAAACAATATATATAAGGCACTGGTCTAAACGACTAAAGTATTTTGAATACCTACGGTATTTTATATGGACATTAAAAATTTAGAACTGTTTATGTTAATATCTTTACCTCTTACTACATATAACTACCTCAAGGCCAGTGTTAGCAAAAGTTACGGCCCCTTAAACAACTAGGCCCAGGACAGCGAAGTTTATGAGCCCTAAGATATATTCAAAGAGTTTTTTATTTTTAGAAAAGTTATTATTCCAAAGATGCAGAAATTCGACACCTTAGCCACAAATGCCAGCTGGCCAAAAATAGTTTGCTACGCAACTGTGTAGTATACGTATAATCCGAGCCATAGCGTAGTAACGATTTATACGTAGATTAAGAAATAAAAACTGTCCTGTTGTGATGATTGGATCATGGAAACAAAAATACCCTAAACATTTACCATCCCTACTATAATTTACTCAATACGTGAGGGCAAAAAATTAGTAACTTTTATTACTTTATTTCCTTTCACTAATTTTATATCAATAGGTATTTACATTTCACATACTTATTTTTTAGTGTTTGAAAGTTGAAACTATATAAAGAGTACACGCTTACCAAATGAGGTAAGAGTGTACTCGAGGTGGTTATTTCAATCTTTGTCTAAACATTCTAATGCTATATAATATTGTTCTTCTTGTAAAGACTATACTACATACGGATTTTTTAACGCTATTTTTTGTTTTTTTCATGCTCTCGCCATTATATTTTACAAAAGAATATTGTAATTATTTGTAACGGCAAACTTAGAAAAAAAAAATATATAAAAATAAAAAATCTGCCATTGTATTAAAGATTGTTATTATTCAATATAAAAAAAACAATAACACAAATTTACAAAAAAAAATATTTGCCTGGTATCTTTGGTTTGCTATTAGTGATAATATATTAGTTTTTGGGTGCTAATTATAAAATTGGTAGTTTTTTTGTATCAAGTGTGGATTTTTAGATATCTAACACCTCATGTTAAACCATTTAAAACTGACTTCCCCATATATAATGGTTAACATATACAAAACAAAAAAAACA